TCGGCTGTCTCGGAGTTGCTTATGTTCTGTATTTCAAATCCCAATTACTGTGTGATCACTTTCTGGTCTCCATACTTCTACAGCATGGTGATCTGACCTAGGGACCAAACTTTAAGGGTTACTAGCTCTGTTTTCATTGTGAAGAACACACACCTTAACATTTGGAATAAATCAATATTTTATTATATATCTATTTCTTTTATTTTGTTATAGCCATATAGGCTCATGTCCTTATGAGGGAGAGCAGACTCAAGCCCGGAAATAAATGATTTGAAAATGTTTTCTTATAATAAATCTAAAAATAATTGGCCCCATCATGAGCAGATGTGAGCAAAAAGACTGAATGCCTTAAAACGTCATTTTTGTGTACATGTGTTAGAAAGTCTATAACTCATGCTTTGAGAACCTAGCTACCTAAGCATTACAGCACTTGGTAAAAGGAAAACCCAGTGAGCCATAACAACTGGAGACCTGAGTGACGATATCATGTCACAAACAAGAGCCATATTTTTTACATTTACCACAGATTTTTTTTTCTGTCTGCAGTGTGTACCTGTCACCCAGCTGAAACCCTCAAGTAGGAAAGGTGCTGTTGAAATCCACAAGTCACCTCTGCATATATATATATATCCTCCTTCCTCCTTCCCCAGCTGCATCTCCCACAGTAGATTAGTATATGGGTGACCCAACTGCATAGGCCAGTTCTATGGAGAGGCAGGCTAGGGAAGGGTTATAAGCAGAGCCCCTCCAGCTAGACTGCCTGCGCTAGAACCTCCACGCTCTGAGGCCATGGTGCATCACTTCCTTTCATGTCCTCATCTGCAGAATGGGCATGATGACAGTGTCTTCTCTCTCACAGGGCTGTGTGAGGATTAAATGTGCTTCGCTCATGGAGAGAACTTAGGACAGTACCTGGCACACTGTAAAGACTCGTTACATATCAGGTACACTTTAGTTCACATTTTGTGAGCAGTGGTTTTACAAGCTCTTGCTGGTGACTGGCCACCATTCGCTTTATTTCTTACATGAGGAACAGATTTGCCAAGGGGACAGTGGAGGAAACTCTTCAGCTATAATTATTTCTTATCAATCTTGGAAGATTTTTCTGTGGTCCTACCTAGAGGCAAGGTCTTGATAAATAGACCTTTACACATATCATCCAGTGACACATTTTGCTTGTTGGTTTTCCATCTTTTGTTATGTAATCCATTCCATTACGTACTCATCCCAATGTAAAAGCATTCTATACCTGGTTTTTGTTGTGTTTTGAAACTATTTTGATTGTAATAGCAAAACTGACACTTTTGTCAAATTGACACTAACTAAATCTTATTGCTGGAATTATTGTGATGGTTATTAAGGGTGAAGGGATAAGAATTAGGCCCTTGATTGGTTTGGGAAATGAGAGAGTTGCTAAATTCAGCAACACCTTAACATGCTATGATTATTATTAATTAGCTTTACATAGGGAAACGTTTGAGTCTTGATTTGCTTGTCAACTTGGGGAAAAGACTAATAAAAGGACTAAACTAATAACCAAGATAAACCAGCATCTCTATAAGCTGGGCGAAAATGAAGAGATCATGCCTAGAACAGCTCACAAGTGGCATGCATAACGAAGACAGTGAGGAAGGGCTCGCAGAAACTGACTGGGTCCTCTCTAATGGATGAACAGACCATGTGGGCTACTAGATCTCTAGGTGGGGAGTCAGCCAAAGGCTTTTGCTTTTATAATGGTCTGATTCCAGAATCACAGCAGTGACAGCAACCCAGACATGGGGCATGCTGTGCCCACAGCTCTAAAATTACAATGTAATGCTTAAAGCTGTCAGTTATATTCTCCAACCCATTTTTAATTCCAAAACAAAATACTCCTAAGAGGATTCTGCTCTACCACCGACCACTCTCATGGGTTTAATTGGCAGGATGGAGCCATGCCAACCAGTTTTAACTAAGACCCTTGGGCTCCTGTGACCTTTTACAGAATTTATGATCTGCCCCCTGCCCCCCCACCTCCCTCTCTCCCCCAGTGCCTTGGGATGTGCTGCCTGAAGGAAAGGGATTCTACTTACTTGAAAATTCTATTTTTT